GCCATGGGAGGGAGAGGAACTGAACAAACTTCCTTTGAACACAAAGATCCGGCTTAAGAATGTATATTGGCAACTGCCTCAGTAATGCTTAGCAATCTAAGGTGTACAAACTTAGGGAATTGAGATGACATACTGTATAGAATTGTTAAGGCTGGGTTTTTATCAATATTATAATCCGTATCCACAAGCTACCGAGTCTGGCCACCTCAATGTGCACTTGTAAATTTAACTGTTCCTGTGGATAGTTACATAGGTAGAACGACTCATCAGGTCCACCGTCACCTTTGCGAGCATCGTCAAACGTGGTTAGGCAAATGGTTCGTAACGTCAGTCAGGGGTTCCATATTAGCACATCTTGTGGATACGCATCATAAGCTTGATAAAATTAACGCCTTCACAATTCTATGCAAGGTGGTACCTCAATTCCCTAAATTTGTTCGCTTTAGATTGCTAAGCATAGCTGACGCAGTCGCTATAAAAAGTTTTCAGCACAATCTTTGTGTTCAGAAAAAGTTTGTTCAACACCTCTGCTTCTCATGGCTTTCAACCCCGACTTAGAACACTTATCCGAGGTAGTATTACTATTCTACCTATATTCTCCTGGATTCTATTTGTAATTCTATTGATCGACATTGTTTCTAATATCTGTGGCTGATATTTCATTATGTTATTTGTAAAGCCTGATGAGAATTTAACGAAAATACGTGAAGGTGAGGCAGTAACTCATCAAAGAAGACATTGTGAAATGGTTGCGCTATGTCGTAAATTGGCAGAAGTTGGAATTCATGGGTTGGCCATTGAATCGGATCTGGTCCCAGTGGCTCAATGGTCTACGAGCTCGCCAGCCTTGTAACCAGGATGGTCCTGTATTCGAACCCCTGTGGTGGGTGCGTGCTGTTGAAGAGTCCCAAACTAGGTGGACGAGATATCTGTCTATTACTCCAGTGGTGGTTTTCCAATGGTCGTCTAATTGATGTCAGCTCATGATGAAATCCTTTAACCAAAAAACTACTTATTTGCTTGTTTAAATCGTGTTCTATAAACCTGATATGCACAAGTGACTGAGTTTCAATACAGAACTTTGGATGGAAGTATAGCAGTTCAAGTTGCCACACTCCATGTAGTTTACAAAGTTAGACAAAACAGACAGAGGAAGGGAATTCAAAAGTAGTATTATAACCAGAGATGTGAGGTAGAAAGAACAGTAACATGGATATGGCAGGTCATTGAGAACAATTTCCAACGCTATCACCAATAGTCTCCAGACATTGGATCTTAACATCCAGGATGCCTACACCTCCCTTTTTGTGGTTGACTCAAACTAATTGTCGAAGATTTCATGGACTGATTCGATGTATTGGTTTGAGCATCACTAAATCTTTTCCAATCCAGTCTTATTTGGGCTGTGGTGGTGTGATACAGATAACTGGTTCCACTGGAGTATTGTTCTCACAATTAGAACCATTGTATTTGTTGGGGTTTACGTCTGAATACTATTCTTACAGTTCAATACTGCTTTTGCAACCGAATACTCTATATGTATTTGAACATTCTATTTCGTGTCGTTTAATGTCAACCAAATTCACACGCTCAAGGATTGGTTAAAGAATATAAAACTGTATATATAAGTAGCTGTTTGATCACTTGAAAATATACCTTGGCTCCCGTGTCTTACCTTCTGCTGTTACCGGGCTAACACTGCTTGTTGAGGAAGGCGATGACTGAGCATACTCAACACATATTTTAGCCATCTGAGTCGATGTAGCTTCACAACCTGATCGATTCCCCCTACGTGTAGAGAAGAGGCGTGAATTGATCGGTGGAAGCGGACTGACACTTCATAGTTATGCGTGTGCATTTGGTTTGTGCGTGGATCAAGCGTAGTTGGGGATGGTGTCCACTTAACTGTGATTATCTTCATCTAAGAAGACTAACTGATGACAATCCTTGAAACACACACACACAGTTGATGAGTGCAGATCAAACGGCCCCAGTGGACGGAGAAGGCCTCGCCGAGACTCGAACTCGGGTCGCTTGATTCAAAGTCCAGAGTGCTAACCGCTAAACCACGAGGCCACCATTCTGCTAACGTCATTCTACATTCTACACCTAACCTCAGTATTACGGAACAGGAGTTGAGTTGAGGTGAAAGTTTTTGGTTAATACGGGACTATAATCATTTCATATTTGATTTTATGATAGATACAGAGAAGAAGCATTGACCGTTAATGACGTCAGAAATCACTTAACAACTGCTGGCTTTTCTAATATATATATATATATATATACATATATTTGTGGCCCAAGTGGTCTAGTGGATAACGCTTTCCTCCTTTACCTCTCTAAACCAGAAATAATGCTGGTGAAGAGGAAAGGTTGGGCATGAGGCTAGCAACCCCATCCTGTAAAATAAACACTGCTACAGAAACTTCAAGCCACTAGCTTGAAGCCCTATGTTCTACTGGTGAACGTGAAGGATATATATATATATATATATATATATATATATATATAATTTAATAATTCCCATTTTAGCATTAAGAACACAATATTCAGCGAAGAGACTCTTTCCAACGAATTTATTATCAAGCTGTACTATCTTATATATATATGGTTTTTACGAAATTATATCCAGTGAGGGAATTAGGTCAAAGGTGTGAATACATGAAATAATAATAGTATGAAATGCAATTAAAATACTTGTGATTATAATCATAGTTTAATGTCAAGTGGCAAAATAATTAATGTCATATATAGAATAATACATAAGGTGTATAGATTTTGGAAAGGGGTACATAATTATAGGATTAGTAGGCGAATATAAAATGTTACATAACATGGTGTGAAATTTGATAAGATAGAATTCAATATTATAAAAACAAAAAATTAATAATTTTGTGTTTAGACTGACAATTGCGTCAAGTGGAAAAGATTCAGAGTGAGAATAGTAATAATAATAATAATAAGGGAAAAGTACATAGAATAACTAAATAAACAAAATAAATAAATGTCTGTCCTTCTACGGCCAAGGCAGAAGTAGGGATTGTAAATACTTCTTTTGTACACAAAGGTCTGGCTTAAAGTCATGAATTGCCAAGGCCTCAGCTGTCTTTAGAAGTCTGTAACGAAGAAAACGCGGAAAGTTAACATGGATTCTATATATTATCTTGAAATCATGGTCAGAGTGACAGAAGTCGATCATCAGGTGTTCCAAAATAGAGCTTCGCACACACTTCCTTTCTCCCTTATATAACCATGCTGGAATATGTTCTCGTATCCTTGTGGAAAGCGTCCTCTGGCTACGGTCAATGTACCTTGCTCGATAAGAGCAGGTGAACTGATAGGTGCACATAGATAAAGGCTGCCAGACGGGGCCCTTGGCCGTAGAGGGATAGACATTTATTTATTTAGTTATTCTATCTACTTTTCCCTTATTACTGTTATTATTATTATTACTATTCTCACTCTGAATCTTTTCCACTTGACGCAATTGTCAGTCTAAACACAAAATTATTAATTTTTTGTTTTTATAATATTGAATTCTATCTTATCAAATTTCACACCATGTTATGTAACATTTTATATTCGCCTACTAATCCTATAATTATGTACCCCTTTCCAAAATCTATACACCTTATGTATTATTCTATATATGACATTAATTATTTTGCCACTTGACATTAAACTATGATTATAATCACAAATATTTTATTCAAGTGTTGGTTTGTAGGGATTTGATTGGTTACAGGATTTTCATCATGAGCTGACATTAATTGTAATAATAATAATAAGAGTTAAAACTCGACTATGTTTTTTCTCTCGATGTAACTATCGTGTTCTTTTAATTCGTCACCCTTGATGTCGTTAGGTTGACGTATTGTGACGTCTTTTCAGTTATATGATGGCTTAGCCTCCAGACTAATCTTCCATTCGATGTGATTCATCTTTCAGTGTTTGCCATTGAGGAATCATAATGAGACCTCCGTGTGGCTTGTTTTGTAGTAAAGTATTCACATAGATTCAAAAGGTGGTCTGTGTTTACAGTACTATTTAGGTTTCTCTATCTCTTCTATGCATAATTCTTCCTCCTTTGCGTTTCTAATGGAACATAAGGCTTCAAGTATGAGCTTTGAGGTGGGTTTGCTAGCCTCATTCCCCTCTAAATTTTGTTTGTTGCACCCAACAACGTAGTCAACAGTTACTAACCGATCTCACTTACCATACCACCTCTGACCTTATCGATCAGCACCATTCGGATAGTTGAGATACCCGTTTGAGTTGAACGGCATGCCACATTCCCCACCAAACGTTTCTCTTCCACATCCTCTCTATTTGAAACGCATTCACATTGTTATGTAACATTTTATATTCGCCTACTAATCCTATAATTATGTACCCCTTTCCAAAATCTATACACCTTATGTATTATTCTATATATGACATTAATTATTTTGCCACTTGACATTAAACTATGATTATAATCACAAATATTTTATTCAAGTGTTGGTTTGTAGGGATTTGATTGGTTACAGGATTTTCATCATGAGCTGACATTAGTTAGAGAACCTTTGGAAAACCTGGGAGCACTGTACGGCTGTTTCGTCCTAGTTTGGGACTCTTCATCAGTACGCACCCACCGGGATTCGAACAAATGCTTTGATTGCATTTCATACTACTATTATTATTTCATGTATTCACACCTTTGACCTAATTCCCTCACTGGATAGAATTTGTTAAAAACCGTATATTTATACGATTGTACAGCTTCATAATGAATTCGTTGAAAAGAGTCTCTTTGCTGAATATTGTGTTTTTGATATATATATATATATATATATATATATATATATTGTTGACTTTAGTGCTCACAGTCAACTTCAAACTAGCATGTTTATAATTTTGCACTGTGTGTTACACAATAGGATAATTCTCAAAGTATAACATGACTCATGTTTAAAATTATGCTTTCCTTTTTTGTAATGAATATTTTCAAACTTTAGAATTTAAACGAAAACTTGTGGAATATTCAATCACGTTTGGGTTCTTGTTATCTATTCGATGATTTCTGGAGATTTTCATTTCATTCAAAAATGCCTCAACAACAACAACACCGTGATGATGATGATCAAAGCTTACCTTATCAAGGGAATAGAAATGATGCATTCATCAATCGAAATCTTTCATTGAACTATTCAGTTTCCAATCTAATCCAACTGTCTTGCACACTTCGTCAACAAGTTTTAAACACAATTCGTAGTCTGGAATCAGCTATGCTGATAAAGTCAAACAATCTGCTGACATTTAAAAAAGAAGTATCCTATGCTGCTCAAAAGCATGAATTAATTCATTCCTCAAGTTATTATATTGAAGAGAATTATAATGATGAAAGAATTGATGGTAGTAGTAGTAGTCCAATTGCAGTATGTGAACTAGTGTCTACTATAAACGACGCTTGTCTTCTTCAGGCTACAACTGCTGATCAATCGTGTTTCCAGCTTTCTTCGACATCACCGTCTTCGGCCTACTTTTCGATAACTTCTACTCCTCCTGCTTCTCCTCCTTCTCCCTCTACTCATTATGAACACGATAACCTGTCATGTATTTCAACGACATACATTAACCGCAAATCATTCTTTAATAAATATCTTTTATTCTTTTTGTTCCTATTCATTATATTTAGCCTTATTATTATTATTAGCATGATTTTATTTGACGTTTTCTCAACTGATAAGGATAATCACCGATGGCGACGGTTCAAGTTTTTATCCGCTCCATTTAATAACCGTTTTCAGTGTAATGGCGATGATGGTGGATCAATGATTGAATTGAATTTAAATCGCCTAATCGAGTATCTCATTTCTTTTCAACATTCTAATGCTAAAAATTCAATTTGGTAATCGTTTTCCCCTCTTTCTTCTCCTTTTTTCGGTATTTTTATTTGTTTTGTTTTGTTTTTATATTTATTTATTTATTTATTTATTTATTGCATTCACACACATTGTGTGTTGGTCAGTTTTCCTGGGGGATAAACGACAAGAAGTCGGTTGCTTGGTTGATTGGTTGATTTCTGTGTACAATTCTACAGACACACACACACTCACTATCAACATCTGTGTGTCCATCTATCTATCATCCGTCTGTTTGTCTGTCATAGTTCTGTTCTTCCTTCTTTTTTGGCTGTGTAAATTTCCAGAAGTCATTATTTTCTTGTAATAATAATAATAAGAGTTAAAACTCGACTATGTTTTTTCTCTCGATGTAACTATCGTGTTCTTTTAATTCGTCACCCTTGATGTCGTTAGGTTGACGTATTGTGACGTCTTTTCAGTTATATGATGGCTTAGCCTCCAGACTAATCTTCCATTCGATGTGATTCATCTTTCAGTGTTTGCCATTGAGGAATCATAATGAGACCTCCGTGTGGCTTGTTTTGTAGTAAAGTATTCACATAGATTCAAAAGGTGGTCTGTGTTTACAGTACTATTTAGGTTTCTCTATCTCTTCTATGCATAATTCTTCCTCCTTTGCGTTTCTAATGGAACATAAGGCTTCAAGTATGAGCTTTGAGGTGGGTTTGCTAGCCTCATTCCCCTCTAAATTTTGTTTGTTGCACCCAACAACGTAGTCAACAGTTACTAACCGATCTCACTTACCATACCACCTCTGACCTTATCGATCAGCACCATTCGGATAGTTGAGATACCCGTTTGAGTTGAACGGCATGCCACATTCCCCACCAAACGTTTCTCTTCCACATCCTCTCTATTTGAAACGCATTCACATTGCTTGCCAAGTCGGTGGGGGGGGGGGTAAATCCGTTGGAGTCATCCGTGGACCCTGACTTCTGCCTTCAGTAAAGCTCTTTTGAAGGTGTCCACAAATCTTTCTGCCTGGCCGTTGGACTGAGGGTGGCATACACCCATATTGTATGCCATTTGTCTTGGAATATTTCCTAGGTGAATGGACTGCTGTCGTCAAATTCAATTCATTCCTGTAGGCCATGATGGTGGTTCAAGACCAAGATGTGAACGTGGAGGTCGAGGAGCAGCTTTCGCCACTGTTGTATTACTTCTCTGCCTCATCTTTTGCATGCTCTTGCTTAATTTACGGGCTGAGAGATCGGTTAGTCGTTGTATAATTTGTTGGCGTAGACAAGTAAAAGCTGTGAATAAGGTAATTCCAAAGGTGAGTAAAAACCACTGGATTTCGACTGCCTCATCCGAACTGATAGATGCTAGAAGACTTATTCCGGCGAGCTCCGAATTCAATGAGGAGCGAAAGCTGCACAAGAGGAAACTTACGAAAAGTCTCCGCAAGGACCGTGAACAGTGGTGGTTGACTAAGGCGAAAGAGATGGAAAAAGCATCGGCGATAGGCAACACCAGACAACTATTCAGGCTTATCAGGGAAACAGGTGGTAAAAAACAAATGATAAGCGAAACAATCTCCGAGAAAAATGGCACCATAATTAGCTCCCAGGATAGACGTCTGGAGCGCTGGAAAGAACACTATGAGGAGCAGTTTAATTGGCCCACAGCCACACTTAACCTACCGGACATCCAACACCTCCCTGAATGGGAGATAGACACAGGTCCTCCGTCCTTAACCGAGGTTACTAAAGCTGTCACCAATCTGAAGCTAGGCAAAGCAGCGGGACCTGATTTATTGACTCCAGAGGTATTTAAGTACGGAGGCGACAGTTTACTGTCTGCGTTAACGGAGGTTCTAGGCAGCGTCTGGGAATCAGAGGAAGTCCCATCGGGTTGGTGTAAGTCACTGATCATCCCGATATACAAGAAGGGGGACAAGTCGTCTTGTGATAATCACAGAGGGATTAGCTTGACTAATATAGTATCTAAAATCCTAGGCTCAATAATACTGCGTAGATTAAGTGGTGCTCGGGAGACACAAACACGAGAAAACCAGGCAGGTTTTAGGCCAGGTAGAGGGTGTATTGATCACATCTTCACCCTTCGACAGATTCTAGAACATAGGCATTCCTACCGGCGTCCGACAATCATTATATTTCTTGACCTAAAGGCGGCATTCGATTCTGTCGACCGGGAGGTTCTCTGGCGATGCTTGGCTGTAAAGGGAATGCCAAGAAAATACATTGCACTGATTAAGGCACTCTACTCGTACTCATGCAGCCAGGTGAGGGCTTATGGCGAGTTGTCATCTGAAGTGGTGACGACTAGTGGCGTCCGTCAAGGATGCCCATTATCCCCATTCCTATTCAATTTCATCATAGATGTACTAATGGACTTAACCCTAACTCACTTCAGCGACTCAGGGATTGACTTGCTACCAGGGAAGAATCTCGTTGACTTAGAATATGCGGACGATATAGTCCTTCTAGGCGAGGACTCTGACAAAATGCAGAGTCTACTGAACACCCTGAGCAACAATCTCCGCATGTTTGGCATGCGATTCGCCCCTATAAAATGTAAGATGATGCTGCAGGATTGGACTTCATCGACCCCTAGATTAGAAATAGGAAGTGAAGTGGTAGAACACGTTGACCGTTTCACTTACTTGGGAAGTACCATCAGCCCCAACGGGTTGATCTCCGACGAAATTTCAGCACGAATACAGAGGGCTAGGTTCGCATTCGCCAGTTTTCGCCGTCTCTGGCGTAGACGTGATATCCGGCTGGTTATCGACCAAAGGGCGTGTGTACTGCTCAACAGTCCGCTCCGTCCTCCTTTATGGCTGTGAGACCTGGCCATTGAGAGCAGAAGACATGAAAAGATTAGCTGTCTTCGATCATAGGTGTCTGCGTTCTATCTCCCGTGTGAAGTGGTATAATAAGGTGAGCAATATTGAGGTTAGGCGTCGAGTGCTAGGTAAGGCGGGGAAATCAATCGACGAGACTGTGAAATTACTTCGACTGAGATGGTTAGGACATGTGCTACGTATGCCTAGTCATCGCCTTCCTCGACGGGCAATGTTAGCTGATATAGGGTCAGGCTGGAAAAGAGCTAGCGGCGGTCAAACCAAAATATGGCACCAATCAATGAAATCCACAACAGTTAATCTGAGCCACGTAGGAAGATGTAGACTTCCTGGTTGGGGCCCTCGGGATGGCAAAAACCAATGGTTGGAAACAATTGGTGACATGGCTCAAAATCGTTCTCAGTGGCGCAGATGCATCCACTCCTTGTGACTTATGATTTCCAATTAAACTTTTGTTCTCCGTTATTACTATTCCTTTGTCTCACACCTCTGTTTACTGTCTATATTATGCATTTCTACTTTCTTCTCTTGCTTTGCGTGCTACATAGATTGTGGCGACTTGAACTGCCGCACATATGTGCAAAGTTCTATGTCGAAAACCGACCGACCGACCGAGACAAGTAATGCTTGCAATTAAATGATCTGTCACTAGCTTGGCGCACCTATTTCAACTTAACCTTTTTGGCAGAAATTTAATACTTAGAACCTCTTCTCTTTACGGGGCTTAGTACTGGCTAAGTGAGGTCTAGGAGTGCTTTGGCCGGGAATCGAAACCTAAACCACCTGCGTGTTTGGCAAATATTTCACCACTGTGTTATGTTTCGCAGTACATTGAGACTAAAATCTCGACACCGAGTTGGACACAGACGCGCTAATCACGAATGCCGCTTGACTATTCCAACAACATTATACGACAGCCATCTGATCTCCCAGCTCGCACTACTTAAAGCAGAATACACAGCTGTATGAGCTGCGAAGTATTTTTTATTCAGAAAATTAACAGCGTTAGGTCAGATAGTCTGTAATCAATAAAATAATGTGCGTATTTTGTATGGGCCGATTCTGATTGGTTTGTTTCCAGACTAGAAATCGAGCATCACATCTCGCTAACGCATTTTATTCATAATAAGCGTTATTTATTGCTATTTTATTTTAAAAATAGACGGTTTAATTTCCGGACACTATAGCAATAAAGACATGCAAAAAAAACAAAACAAGAATAAGTAGTTGAGCAAATGAATAAAGGAGATAAACATATCTATGAAGCATATTCAAATGATTGGCTGATAATTCACACTACTGTCTAAAGTAAGAGGAACATGGAATGAATTTGCAGCGTGTTCGCCATTGATTTCAATCTCCATTGTGTCAAATCAATCGCACTGTTAGCAAACAGTGAGTATTACCGAAGCCACTGGCATGACATTCGTAAAACCTACCTAAGTCACTGAGGCTAGTGTTATTCAATGACAACCCACAGTGATTGATGATCTTCGTCATTGGGAATCATAATTACAGATTTTTTGATGACGGATATAGAAAATCTTACAAAGACATTATCGGATACAGAGTCCGAAAACATCTTCATCTAATAATGGGACAAATTTCACAGATGTAGTACAAGGCTGTGCATACAGCAACCTTCTAAGTGCTATCCTTAACGGTTAGACTAATAATAATAACAATATCTTTATTCTGAACAGAGTTCATATAATGTACAGAATTATCAGTGGAAATTATTGCGTAATAGTTTCCCTTTGTCCTTGAACCTACAAGTAAATTATTAACTGACAGTAAACCGCCTGACACATTACTGTCTCACCTGAAATGAAAACTAATCCCTTATGATATTTCTTCGTCGCCTCTCTCCTTCGAGAAATCCACAACAGTTGGTTGAAAGTCAATTAATGAAGATGCAGGAGTACATTTTTTTTATCCCAAGGACATAATAATAATAGCTGAATAATTGAAGACTGAAGGTAATCAGTTTTATCTCTCAAGTAGTCGTAGTTTGTACTAATAATCTCAGGGACGGTTATCTCATGTATTGGTCTGGCGAGTGCTACTGATAAGATTTACCAGTAGTATATATATATACCTGATCCCACTTCTGACACCAGGTTTGGTGCGTTGGTAGCATAGCGGTTAGGACGCTCGCCGA